CAAGAATGTTCAAATTAAGTTTTTCAGCATGTTTTGGGGGCTTCAGCATGGCAATGATAAGAAACTATGGGAGTATATGACTGAGAAACAACCTCATGGGGATGAGTGATAAAAGCCCCACCGAGGAAGAAACCAGTAGAGTGGAGGTGGGGGGGAGTTGTAGAAGATGGGGTAAATGATGGAGCAGGGGGAACATATTCAGGCCCAGAGGTAAGAAAGAATATGTAGAAAACACTACCATATAAAGGCACATTAAGGGCACTTGGAAGCAGCTGAAGCAGCAAATTTTGTAGCCTGCAGATGGATGTAGGATTTAATCAAAATACCTGTTTCATGTAACCTGCTGTGCGATTATCTGAAATGATTTGGAGGCATTTTATTTAGCATTGTAGAAAACGCAGAATACTAATAACATGTTCGATAATTTCAGATTATTCCTGACGACCTTTTATCAATGGCTGAGAGGTTCAAGGCACGTCAACAGAAAAGAGAAATGGAAAGAAAAATGGAAAAACCTCAAGGAAGGCCCAAGAAGTTTCATTAATGTCTACTGTTCTAATGTGGTAGAGGTAAAAGTTCAGTAACACATGGACCTTAAAATGCCTGCTTTCTTAAATGAGGCTCTGTGAATGTTTACTGCAATGAGCATTATATTGTATATTGTATTTATTATGTTAAACTAGGTATTACTCATAATTATTAGTCAATCCTTCTGGGTATACATTGAAACGAATGAAACCAGGTCTTTTTGTACTCATGCTTATAGAAGCACTATTTATAATAGTCAAGGTCATACAACTCAAGCATCCATTAGTCAAGGTCATACAACTCAAGCATCCATTAGTGAATGAATAGAAAAACACAATGGAATATCATTCAGCCCATAAAAGGAAGAAAATTGTCATAGATGAACCTTGATATTATGGTTAGAGAAATAAGCCAATTACAAGGACATTCTATATGATCCCACTTGTAGGAGGTGCTTAGGATAGTAAAATTCACAGTGCCAGAAAGTAGAATGGTGGTTACCAAGGGCGTGGGAAGTGGGTATTGTTTGGTGGGTACAGAGTTTTTCATGTTATGAAACTTTGGGAGTTTGAAACAGTGGCTCACACCTGTAATCCCAGCACTGAGAGGCTAAGGTGGGCGGATCACTTGAGGTCAGGAGTTCGAGACCTTCCTGGCCAACATGGGTGAAACCCCGTCTCTACTAAAAATAAAAAAATTAGCCGGGCATGGTGGCTCACATCTGTAATCCCAGCTAGATGGGAGGCTGAGGCAGGAGAATCACTTGATTCTGGGAGGCGGAGGTTGTGGTCAGCTGAGATTGTGCCACCGCACTCCAGCCTGGAAAACAGAAATGCTGTCTCCACTACAGAAACAGCACATTTAAAACTGGTTGTGGTAAATTTGGGTATGTTTATTTCATCACAATTAAGGTATTTTTTTTTTGAGACGGAATATCCCTCTTGTTGCCCAGGCTGGAGTGCAATGGTGTGATCTTGGCTCAGCGAAACCTCTGCCTCCTGGGTTCAAGCGATTCTCCTGATTCAGCCTCCCAAGTAGCTGGGACTACAGGCACGAGCCACCACATCTGGTTAATTTTGTATTTTTAGTAGAGACAGGTTTTCTCCATGTTGATCAGGCTGGTCTCAAACTCCCAACCTCAGGTGATCCGCCTGCCTCAGCCTCCCAAAGTGCTGGGATTACAGGCATAATACACCGTGCCTGGCACAATTAAGCTTTTTAAAAACAATGTTAGGGTCAGTAATTTGCATTTTTAATCTTTTTCAGAATTCAAGATTTTTTAGAAATCTAAGAAGATAGAAATATTGGACATGCTGGCAATATTAACAGACTGGAGTGATTTGAGTGATTCTTAAAATAATAGTGTTTGAAAATGTAGAATTACGTGTTTTATACTTTAATAAAAGTAGAAGTATTAAACTTGGAAGTTGTTTCCTGGATTTTTATTAAGGAATGTAGCATTAGAATGTTTTTCTTGTAATCTTTCAAACTGTTTCCTGTAATTTTGCTGTATGTCATAAGCTCAGTCTTTCAGACTTTAGTGTTCAGATTTTGTCATAGCAGAGAAAAATGTTTTCAAAGAATGAATCAGAACCTGAAAAAAATACTGTTAACTGTTAAAAACAATTGTTCATTTCTGTGATAAAAAGACAAGTTGGTAATTTGTCTTTCTGTATAACATTTCAATTTTGTGTTTGCTAAATAGTATATTATTGGGGTATACTTTTTGTAGATTATCCTTTACCCACTTTGAAATGAAACTAAATTATTTCATGAGGTCAAAATATGCAACACCAGTTTATTTTTCCATTGTACCCTATGGTTTCATGCTAAAACCCTTGGAAAATCAACATTTTTTTTTTTTGATGGAGTTTCATTCTTGTTGCCCAGGCTGGAGTGCAGTGGCGTAATCTCAGCTCACTGCAATCTCCACTCCCTGGGTTCAAGCGATTCTCCTGTCTCGGCCTCCCAAGTAGCTGGGACCACAGGTGTGCACCACCTTGCCCGGCTACTTTTTGTATGTTTAGTAGAGACGGGGTTTCACCATGTGGGTCTGGCTGGTCTTGAACTCCTGACTTCCTGAATCCACCTGCCTTGGCCTCCCCAACTGCTGGGATTACAGGTGTGTTTTTATTTTTTATTTCTATTTCCCTGCCAGAAGTCTTAGACTATAAAAAGCTTATTTAAAAGGTTGTCTGTTGCCAGAAAAGATGGTTGCCTAGTCTTAGTATTCATGTGGAGAACTTACTAAACCTGAAGAAGGACTATATCCAAATTGGATTGGTTTTAATGGACAATGGCTGTATTTTCCCCATGTTAAACAAATACTAACAAAGGTGGCTGTTTAAGTTCCTAGGGGTCTATCTAGTTGTCCAGAATCCCCAAGGATAAAATGTTCCCTAGAAGAGTAGAACCTTAACCTCACTCAGTGACATTGTAGGAGCCTCTATAGCTGTGGCACTTCTTGGAAGCTCAAACTTCCAAAAGCATCCAGGTAGTCAAAGCTGGGAAAAAGAAGCACATACAAATAATAAAATTATTTTTTATATTCCACTAATAAATGCTGTTCTCCTTGGGCATGATCAGTCATATAACATGTCATTTTTTTGGTTTTATTCTGTTTTGGTTTGGTTTTTGCTAACTTTTATTCATATTTCCAAAAAACTAAATAAAATCATTTTACTTTAACAAAAGTAGTCTGAGCCCTTCCACCCTTCGTTTTTTACTCCCAAGATATAAACTTTTCATCTTTTAGCCATTAGTAACTTGCTTATTGCAATTTCTTGGTTTTAAAAATTTGACATCTACTGACTTCCCACTGTAAAGGAGTAATTAAATTCTTGCATATCTGTGACAGTTGGACCCTCAGCGTTGCCCTGTGGCCCCCTTTCTACCTCCTGAGATTCACATCTATGTAGTAAAGAATTTAACCTAACCCAAACAAACGTCCCACTTTTGCCCCTGACTTCTGAGAGGTAATGACTGAACTCTTAGAATGTGCCAGGAAGTATAATGTGATTTATGGTGGGGTCTTTGGGTCTTGGTATGACCTTAACTGTTTGCCCTCCAGAGGAGCGAGAGACTGAGGTTAGGAATATGGACAGCCAACCAGTAGCTGCAGTAAGAACTCTGGACACAGCTCAGGTGAGCTTCCCTGGCTGGCAATAGTCTGTGTACTGGCACACTGATGCCAAAAGAATAACCTGTCCATGACTCCACCAAAAGACAACAGAAAGTGCAGTGTTTGGTACTCAAAGTCTGCCCTTGCACTTCCCTTGGCTAATTTAAACTTGCATGCTTGCCAAGTATAAACTGCAACAATGAGCATAATGGTTTCAGTGAGTTCTGTGAGTATTTCATCAAACCTGAGGGTGGTCTTATGGGAACTGTTTTCCCCCTAACTGTATCGATGGCACCTGAGATAACACCTTTGAGTGATTCCTCTCCCCTTGGGTATGAGTGGGACCTGTGACTTGCTTCCAGTCATTAGAATACGGTACAGGCAATGGGCTGTACATAATTGTGTATATGATTGTGTTAAACAAGTTTGTGGAACCCTCTTGCTGGAGTACCTGCCTTGCTGGCTTCGAAGAATTGAGCTACTGTTGTGGGCTGCCTATGTTGGGAGGCTCACATGGTAAGGAACTGAAGGCAGCTTCTAGGAACTGAGGGCAATCTCTGGCTGGAGTGCAATGGCGCAACCTTGGCCTCCCAGGTGCAAGCGATTCTCCTGCCTCAGCCACCTGACTAGCTGGTACAGGCATGTACCACCACACCCAGCTAATTTTGTATTTTTAGACGAGACAAGTTTTCTCCATGTTGGTCAGGCTGGTCTCAAACTCCTGACCTCAGGTGATCTGCCTTCCTCGGCCTCCCAAAGTGCTGGGATTACAGGCATGAGCCACCATGCCTGGCTTGACATCTTAATTATAGCCTTGAGAGACTCTGAGCAGAGCCATGTCCAGAACTTTGGCCCATTGAAAATGTGAGATAATACGTGTTTTAAGCCACTGAGGTAGTGGTTAATTGTTACACAGGAAACTAATGTAATCCCCATCCCCTCTACCACTATCACCATCCAGGCACTAAGCCTGTTGTCCTATCCTAACCACAGAGTGGGTAATCATAATTTCTTTTCTTTTGCATTAAAAAACATTTTTTAAAATTTCTATAACTCAATCAAGACAGTTGCAGGTGGGGAAAAAAAATTTCAAGTCAGATAACAGTCCATAACTTCAATAAGATTAATAGTAAATAGTTACTATGACTTTGTCAATACTTAAAGCTGAGCAATATTCTCATCAGACTTTTCTTCCACATATCCTTTCTTTATGGAGTTACAAGTTGCTTAGATTATTTTATTTGGATAGTGTTCTATTTATCATTAATTGTCCCCAAAACTCTTGATGTCTAATGTTTCTCTTAGTATGTTCAAACATAGTAGGTTGTTAAACAAGATGCATAAAGCAAAAACCATAAAAAATTCTTCAGTTTATTCTCAACAGTTTGAAGGAGAAAAAAAAAACTCCATTAAAATTTTAAAATCTTTACAATAAAAAATACAAGAAAACCTTTAGTGAAAGACACCAAAAACACTGAAGACAATCCACACGACAAGTTATTTGTTACACAAACAACAAATGAAGGATAAGTACCCCAGATACATTAAAAACTTATAGGCCAGGCAGTGGCTCAAGCCTGTAATACCAGCTTGGGAGGCCAAGGTGGGCGGATCAAGAGGTCAGGAGTTCCAGACCATCCTGGCTGACAAGATGAAACCCCATCTCTACTACAAATACAAAAAAATTAGCTGGGTGTGCTGGCGGTCGCCTGTAATCCCAGCTACTTGGGAGGCTGAGGTAGGAGAATTGTTTGAACCCAGAAGACGGAAGTTGCAGTGAGCAGAGATGCACTGCATCCTGGGTAACAGAGCGAGACTGTCTCAAAACAAAACTTCTACAAAACAATGAGAAGATAAGAAAATGTGTAGAATATATGAACAGTAAAAATTTAACAAATAGCAGTTGCCTCTAGGCTGAATGCTACCTAAAAATAAAAAAGTTACTCAAAGTAAAAATAACAGAAAATGTTAGGTTTTACATTTAGTCACATATATTATAAAATAAATTACCTCACATTTTCTTGTAAGATTGTATATTTCCTGAGACATACAGAGACAATGTAGAACTTTTTTCATTTCCTTCCTTCTTATTCAAACGTGTAACACAGGGCATTGCTTCCATTAAAATATACTTGTATGTTGAACAACACCTAGTGGTTTTATGGAGACAAGGATCATTTCTAATATTGTCATTCACAACCTTCCACATACCTGTGTTAGGTGAGAGGTGTTTTTCAGTAAGTACCTGATGAATTTAAGGTGATATGTACATTATCCTTTTTTCATTCCAATCTGAAAATGTTATTTATTTGCATGTATGATAAAACAAGCTTTTGCTTCTTATTCCTTGACTAATATTTTTCCTAGGATAGTCAATCCTGTTTGGAAAACTCTGCCCCTACCGCGAAAGCTCTCTCTCTCTCTTTCCCTCCCCCACAAAGAGGCTCCCTTATCTCTCACTTTACATACCGACCCTAGCCCTCCCGCCGCCCAGCTTCCGGCCCAGCAGTTCAAACTGACCAACAGTTGCCCACCACCTCGGCTTTCGGCTTCCCCACCCCCCAGCCCTTCAGCCCCCTATAAAACAACCCTGCCCCTCTGAGCGGCGCGGCCATTCTCCTCTTCCTCCCGGCTGGTCCGCCCGGAGGCTCTTTCCTCTCAATAAAGCCTGAACTTAAGGAATTTCCTCTAGCCTGCGGTCCGGTTTTTTCCGAACGAGCTCAGTCTTCCCGCAGAGGGTAGGTCGGACAAATCCTTTATACTGATGGGAGTTTATTACAACAAACTGAAAATGGAATAACTATTTACATTGATTTTAGTCAATTATTGCTGTGACAAATTTCAAACATTCCAATTATTACAGTCACTATAATTTTTTATTTTGTTGCTTTTTAAAAAATTTTAATAATTTCCTAATTTTCTTTTTCTTAATTTTTTTTTTTTTTGAGACAGTCCTGTTCTGTCACCCAGGATGGAGTGCAGTGGTGCCATATCGCTTTACTGCAACCTTCACCTCCTGAGTTCAAGCAATTCTCATGTCTCAGCCTCCCAAGTAGCTGGGATTACAGGTATGCATCACCACACCTGGCTAATTTTTATGTTTTTAGTAGAGACAGAGTTTCACCATGTTGGTCACGCTGGTCTCAAAGTCCTGACCTCAAGTGATCTGCCTGCCTCAGCCTCCCAAAGTGCTGGGATTACAGGCCTGAGCCACCTCGCCCAGCCTCTTTTAAAATTTTTTTGGTATTCTCCAGGACTGAGAGTCACTCAAATTTTTTCTAAACATAGAATCTCGAAATTCACCAAAAACTGGAAACTCATTGTTTCTTTCATGTTCAATTTGCTTTGACAGAAATTCTTTACTTTTTTTGTCAATTAAGTTGCTAGAGAATAGATTGAATGCAGGAATGAAATAATGTTCAAGTTTTTCTGTCCTGAGGCACTGAAGAAAGTATGTCAGGCAGTTATCAAAGCAGAGCTCCAGATCTTTGGGGTCCCACTGACTGTCTTGAGGGTTCTCGGTACATACGTGAAAGAAAGCAGTTTTCACATGATAAGAACAGAATTTATCCATATGTTTTCCACTTTTAAACTTTTCTTTCAGCCGTTCTAAAAGGTATTTCATCAGTTTTAAACAATCTTTCCTGTTGAATAAAAAAAGAGAACACTTATTTTTAGTTATTTACATTTAACAAAAGATTTTACACATCTCATAGGAAAAACATAAACAATAAAGATACATAATAACATAAATATAGGCCCGCTGGGGTGACTCACGCCTGTGATCCCAGCACTTTGGAGGCCAAGGCAGGCAGATCACCTAAGGTCAGGAGTTTGAGACCAGCCTGACCAACATGGTGAAACTCCGTCTCTACCAAAAATACAAAATTATCCATGTGTGGTGACGCATGCCTGTAATCCCAGCTACTCAGGAGGCTGCTGCGGAGAATTGCTTGAGGTCAGGAGGTAGAGGCTGCAGTGAGCCAAGATCATGCCATTGCACTCCAGCCTGGGCAACAAGGGCAAAACTCTGTCTCAGAAAAATAAAATAAAACAGAAACATAATTACAGTCACACTAAAATCTGATTATGTTTTCAAATATGTGGTTTGAAGTTTCAAAAATGTCAGGCCTCCATATGCAAGCCCTGACCCAGAAAGTCTGAAGTTCTGTCTGCCTCATCTAATCACATCCCCCTAACAGCCCCAACCCCTCACTCCAGTTTGCCATTATCCCTGATGGCCCAGCTGAGCTTCCCCTAGACATTAAGCTTCTCACTCCACCCTGCCATCTTAACTGTGATGATGGTAATGTGAATACTCCTCCCCGCAACCTGCCATCTTAACTGTTGTTGCTCTGTAAATATCCCTCCACCCCACCCTACCATCTTAACTACCCACCCTAACCCCACCACCACTGTAACTAAACTTATGCTATTGTATACTCCTTGCTCCTACCCCTACCTCTGTAACTGATCTTACTCTGTAACACCCCTGACCCCTCCCCAAAAGATTTGCCCCAACCTACCAACTCCTATCCCACGGCCCTTCACTAATGCCCTTTTCCGCCTCAGCCCACCTGTACCCAGGTGAATAAACAGCCATGTTGTTCACACAAAGCCTATTTGGGGGGGATCTCTTCATTCAAAGCAGGAGTTTTAACAAAAAACACATTTTTTGCCCTCTTTCCCATTTTTAGCTTAAATATTTTATTCCCTCAATTTCTTCAACTGTATGAAGCTAACAGATATTTATACTTTTTTTTTTTTTTTTTGAGATAATCTCGCTCTGTCATCCAGTCTGAAGTGCAGTGGGATGATCTCGGCTCACTGCAACCTCCGCCTCTTGGGTTCAAATGATTCTCCTGCCTCAGGCTCCTGAGTAGGTGGGACTACAGGCATGTGTCATTAAAAATTGTTTGGTATTTTTAGTAGAGATGGGGTTTCACTGTGTTAGCCATAATGTTCTTGAGCTCCTGATCCACCCGCCTCAGCCTCCCAGAGTGCTAGGATTACAGGCGTAACCCACTGTAGGTCAAGATGGCCAAGGGGAGACCTATATTAATTCTATCTAAATAATTCTAAGCTTGCTTGGCTCAGAGTACACTTAAGTTCATACACTGAACTAAACTATATTATTGGTGCAGTTAATGAGAAATCAGGCGGCAACAGGAGTCCTAAGGTAAAGACAATCTGAGAGTGCAGTAATACCTAGGAACACCTCGGGATGGTTGCAGAGCAGGTAATACTGCTGGTCCCACGAATGCCTTCTCAACATGGAGACTGCAGGAGGGCCTCGTAAAGAGGGCTTATGCAAAGATCACTGAGACGGGAGGTGACCTCTGCTCACAAGATCTGAGAGGGTCTTTGGAGATGGGGGAGCTGGCAAGGAGGAGAAAAGCCTTGCAGGGCAGAGATCACGGAATGCCTCAGGCTCTGCCTAGGTTCTGGGAATACGGAGTGATTTTAAATGCTCCTCAATGCTCAGGAGATAAAAGCCCCTTGATACACTGGGTGTGGTCTGACCAGGTGGTTCCTCATCTGCTATACTTCTGATGCAGCCACACCCTGATAACAATCAGTGATAAACTCAGAGTACTGGTTTAGCATGTCTTAGAAGGATCTCAATTGCTGTTAAATGCTCAGAGCCCTAATTTAGCATGTCTTAGAAGGATCTCAAGTGCTCTCCCACCCGCTATCTTACCTACCCCTTCACCCTTCCCTTCCACACCCATAAGATCAATGAGATTGTGCACATAATAAAAGTGTATGGAGCCCAGAGCTTGGGACCAACGCACTTCCCATGCTTGCGGTGGTCCCCTGGTCCCATGCTGTAAATTCTACTCTTGTATTTCTGTCTTTATTTCCTTTTCTCAATCCCTCGGCACTGCCGGGACTAAGGGCACTCACGTACAGGGTTGGGGCTGGTACCCAACACCCACCGTGTCTGGCTATTTATTTATTTATTTTAAACACTGTCCTGCTCTGTCACCCAGCCTGGGGTGCAGAGATGCAATCTCGGCTCACTGCAACCTCTGTCCTCCCCACATTCCCCTCAAGCAGTCCTCCCACCTCAGCCTCCTAAGTAGATATTTATACTATTCATCCAGTTATTCAGTACCTACAAAAATCTTGTTTTAATTTTTATAAGACTATTTTACTTTATTGAACCAAAAATATTTACATAATTTTTCTTTTTCTTTTTTAAAATCCACTGATTGTATCACATAATTATTTATATTATTGGGGTACCACAGATAATCTGCCATTTCATCTAGTTATTTAGTAGTTGACAAAATTTATTATGTATGAAACGATTTAACCTTATCAACATTATTATTTTTTTTTTTAATTGAGACCAAGTCTCACTCTGTCACCCAGGCTGGAGTGCAGTGGCATGATCTCAGTTCACTGCAACTTCCATTTTCCAGGTTCCAGTGATTCTCTTGCCTTAGCCTCCCAAGGAGCTGTGATTAACAGGCATGCCCCACTGTGCCTGGCTAATTTTAGTAGAGATGGGGTTTCGCCATGTTGGCCAGTCTGGTCTAGAACTCCTGACCTCAGGTGATCTACCTTACTCAGCCTACCAAAGTGCTGAGATTACAGGCATAAGCCACCATGCCTGGACAATACCGGCCAATTTTAGAAACTCAAATTAACAATTCCTTTTCAATCTTAGCTTTTTTTTTTTTTTTTTGAGACAGCGTTTCACTGTTGTTACCCAGACTGGAGTGCAATGGCATGATCTTGGCTCACCACAACCTCCACCTTCTGGGTTCAAGCAATTCTCCTGCCTCAGCCTCCCAAGTAGCTGGGACTACCGGTGCACACCACCATGCCCAGCTAATTTTTGTATTTTTAGTAGAGATGGGGTTTCACCTTGTTGACCAGGATGGTCTCGATCTCTTGACCTCGTGATCCACCCGCCTCGGCCGCCCAAAGTGCTGGGATTATAGGCATGAGCCACTGCACCCGACCTCAATCTTAGCTTTTTATGGTGTATATGCTATTATGAAAAAAAATGGCAGGGTACAGTGCCTCATGCCTGTAATCCCAACACTTTGGGAAGCCAAGGCGGGAAGATTTCTTGAACCCAGGAGTTAAGAGACCAACCTGCCTGGGCAACAAAGGGAGACCACTGTCTCTACCAATAAAAAATAAATCTTTTTTGAGACAGGGTGTCACTATGTCACCCACATTGGAGTGCAGTGGCACAATCATGGCTCACTGCAGTCTTGATTTCCTGGGCTCAAGCGATTCTCCCACTTCAGCCTTCCAATAACCTGGGACCACAGGCAGCAGTCACCATACCTGGCTAATTTTTTTTTTTTTCTGAGAAGGAGTCTTGCCTCGTCACCCAAGCTGGAGTACAATGGCGCGATCTCAGCTCACTGCAACCTCCACCTCCCGGGTTCAAGCAGTTCTCCTGCCTCAGCCTGCTGAGTAACTGGGATTACAGGCACGCAACACCACACCCAGCTAATTTTTTGTATCTTTAGTAGAGATGGGGTTTCACCATGCTGGCCAGGCTAGTCTTCAACTTCTGACCTCATGATCCACCCACCTCGGCCTCCCAAAGTGCTGGGATTACAGGCATGAGCCACTGCACCAGGCCTGCCTGGCTAATTTTTAAATCTTTTGTGGAGGCAGGAGCCTCCCCATGTTGCTAGGCTGGGATTACAGGTGTGAGCCAACAGGCCCTCTGCAAAATTTTTTTTAAAAATTAGCTGAGCATGGTGGCATACACCTTTAGTCTCATCTACTTGGGGGCTGAAGTAGGATGATTGCTTCAGCCCAGGAGATCGAGATCGTGGTGAACTGTGATTGGGTCAATGCACTCATGTCTGGGTGACAGAGTGAAAGTCTGTAATCCCAGCACTTTGGGAGGCCGAGGGGGGCAAATCATGAAGTTAAGAGATGGAGGTCATCCTGGCCAACATGGTGCAACCCTATCTCTACTAAAATACAAAAATTTGCTGGGCTTGGTGGCATGCACCTGTAGTCCCAGCTACTCAGGAGGCTGAGGCAGGAGAATCGCTTAAACCCGGGAGGCAGAGGTTGCAGTAAGTTGAGATTGCCCCACTGAACTCGAGCCTGGCGACAGAATGAGACTCTGTCTCAAAAAAAAGAATCGATTACTCAGTTAGTGTTGTTTTCAGTTTGGCCAGTCAACCCCTAGCCATCAACACAACCCAACTATCTCAAAGCAAGCCCAGTATCCAATAAAAGTGATCCTTTGGCCTCCTTCAATTATATAACATTAATATTCATTACCTTTAAACAAGCAAAATACTATGATCCATTGAATTGTATGGCTAGTGTTCATACCCTCTTGGTCCTACTGATACATCTATACAAAAACACATTCATCTGATCCAGGGTTCAGAACAACTACTCCCTGGCCTTGCCTTCTAACAACACCGTTTCCTTGGCCCTTTGGATCTAGCTTCTCTGGTTTCATACTCACTCTCCCCAGGTCAACCCAATCCTGCCCTGATCCCCAGACCCAACCCAGCTCAGTTCTTCAGGTGTGAGGTATGGAGTCCACAAAGAATTAAGCATAGTATAGATAATCTGTCATTTAACAAAATAAGGCTATTACCTGCAACATTTCACTCCTTTCTCTTCACAACACGTTTTAGATTGTCCATGATCCCTCAAAATTTCCTTTTCAATGTGAGAGAAGGATAGCCGCCATGTTTCTTCTTAATTTAAAAAAGAAAAACAGAAAAGCACTTTACCAAACCATCCATATCTAAACAATGTTTAAGTGAGGCTGAAAAAAATTCTAGGAGTGAGGCTGGGCGCGGTGGCTCAAGCCTGTAATCCCAGCACTTTGGGAGGCTGAGGTGGGTGGATCACGAGGTCGAGAGATCGAGACCAATCTGGTCAACATGGTGACACCCCGTCTCTACTAAAAATACAAAAAATTAGCTGGGCGTGGTGGCGCGTGCCTGTAATCCCAGCTACTCAGGAGGCTGAGGCAGGAGAATTGCCTGAACCCAGGAGACGGAGGTTGCGGTGAGCCGAGATCGCGCCATTGCACTCCAGCCTGGGTAACAAGAGCGAAACTCTGTCTCAAAAAAAAAAAATCTAGGAGTGAATCAAAAGAAGTGAACAGATAAATAATTACGTATAAAAACAAGTACACAGACAAAAATACGGGCCTAAGTGAAAAACAATGGGAGGAAGTCACAGATGCATATAGTGAACAATAGTGAGATGTATAATCATTTATATATTGCTAAATTCCCTTTGTTAAATACTTTGTTTCAATAATAATTTCAATCAATTTATTCACTTTTTCTGTACCATCCTTACAGGTTTAGTATTAATACAAAATAATTTGGCTGGGCTTGGCGGCTGATGCCTGTAATCCCAGCACTTTGGGAGGCCAAGGCGGGCAGGTCACGAGGTTAGGAGTTCGAGACCAGCCTGGCCAACATGGTAAAATCCCGTCTCTACTAAAAATACAAAAATGAACCAGGCACGGTGGCATGAGCCTTTAATCCCAGCTACTCTGGAGGCTAAGGCAGCAGAATCACTTGACCCTAGGTGGCAGAGGTTGCAGTGAGCCAAGACCGGGCAATTGAAACAAGAGCGAAACTTCGTCTCCAAAAAACAAACAAGCAAAAAGATGAAAGCAGAACATGCTAAACGGCACTACTAGAATTTCCCAAAGAAGATTTTTCTACAGGAAAAAATAACCTGTTCCTTCAATGAGTAAATTGAAAAGGAATAAAAAAGTAATGAAAGAGGAAGTTATGAGCTAAAAGAGATTTAACAGATGTATCAGTCAGTCACAATGTATGAACCTTATTCAAATCCTGATCCAAACAGGCAAACTGAACAAAAAAAGTGTGACACAAGACAAGTGGAACTTTTAATACTGAATAGATGTTTGATATTAGGGAATTATTGCTTTTTTTCTTTTGTTGAGACGAGGTCTCCCTCTATCACCCAGGCTGGAGTGTGTGAGCACAGCTCATTGAAACATCAACTTCCTGACCTCGAGCATTCTTCCCATGTCACCCTTTCCCATAGCTGGGACCAGAGGCACACACCACCATGGCTAGCTAATTTTTAAATTTTTTGTAGATATGGGCTCTCTATGTTCCCCAGGCTGATCTTGAACTCCTGGACTCCAGCAATCCTCCAGCCTCCCAAAGTGCTGGAATTACAGGTGTGAGCCACTGTGCCCAGGCAATATAAGAACATTATTTGCTTACGCATTTATTTTATTTATTTATTTTTGAGATGGAGTCTCTGTTGCCCAGGCTAAAGAGCAGTGATGCCATCTTGGCTCACTGCGACCTCCACCTCCCGGGTTCAAGCAATTCTCCTGCCTCAGCTTCCCCAGTAGCTGGGACTGCAGGCATGAGTCACCATGCCCAGCTAATTTTCTACTTTTAGTAGAGATGGGAGGTTTCGCCATGTTGGCCAGGCTGGTCTTGAACTCCTGACCTCTGCCGGCCCCAGCCTCCCAAAGTGCTGGGATTATAAGTGTGAGCCACTGCTCCCAGTCATTTATTTTTTTTTTAAGATAATGTCTCACTTTGTCACCCAGGCTGGAGTGCAGTGACCTGATCTTGGCTCACTGCAGCCTTGACCTCCTAGGCTCAAGTGATTCTCCCACCTCAGCCCCTTAAAGAGCTGAAACAACAGGTGCATATCACCATGGCCAGCTAATTTATTTTGTATTTTCCGTAGAGATAAGGTTTGGCTACATGGCCCAGGCTGGAACTCCTGGGCTCAAGTGATCCACCCACCTCAGTCTCCCAAAATGCTGGTATTACAGGCATGAGCCATTACTCCCGGCCTAGTCTCCCTTGGTACTGGTTTAAGATTTTCATAATAAAAAGTTTTGACCGGGTGCAGTGGCTCATACCTGTAATCCCATCACTTTGGGAGGCCGAGGCAAGCGGATCACCTGAGGTCAGGAGTTTAAGAGCAGCCTGGACAACATGGTGAAACCCCATCTCTACGAAAAATACAAAACTTAGCCAGGGATGGTGGTGGCCACCTGTAATCCCAGCTACTCATGAGGCTGAGACAGGAGAATTGCTTGAACCCCGGAGGCAGAGATGGAGTGACCCTAGGTTGCACCACTGCACTCCAGCATGGATGACAGAACAAGACTCCGTCTGAATAATAATTATAATAATAATAAATAAATATTTTTAAACTAGATGAATTACCTGTGAATAAGTTAACAAAAGATATACAAAACCTCTGCAGCAAAAACGCTAATGAGAGAAGCTGGGAAGTATTAGAGATCTAAATAAGTGGATTGGGGAACTCAATATTGTTAACATATCAACTCTCCCCCATTTTTTCTTTTTCTTTTTTTTTTTAAGAGACAAGGTCTTGTTCTGTTTCTCAGGCTAAAGTGCAGTGACAAGTTCATAGCTCACTGTAATCTCGAACTCCTGAACTTAAGTTATTCTCTTGCATAACTAAAACTACAAGTGCACACCACCAGCCTAGCTAATTTTTTAAAAGGTTATTATAGAGATAAAGATTCACAACTCTCTGTAAAAGCTTTTATAGACAGTTTTTCTTTCTTTCTTTATTTTTTTTTTGAGACAGAGCCTTGCTCTGTTACCAGGCTGGAGTGCAGTAGAATGATCTCAGCTCACTGCATCCTCTACCTCCCAGGTTAAAGCAATTCTCCTGCCTCAGCCTCTGAAGTAGCTGGGATTACAGGCAGGCACCACCATGCCCAGCTAATTTTTTTTATTTTTAGTAGAGGTGGGGTTTCACCATGTTGGCCAGAATGGTCTCAATCTCTTGACCTTATGATCTGCCTGCATCAGCTCCCCAAAGCCCTGGGATTACAGGTGTGAGCCACCAGGCTCAGCGGGAGTTTTCACAGAGTGTTGTCCAGGATGGTCTTGAACTCCTCACCTCAAGCAATTCTCCTTCCTCAGCCTTCTGAAGTGCTGGAATGACAGGCATAAGCCACCATTCCTGGCCCAAAATTTATCTATAGATTCAACATTATCTCAATCAAAATTCCAAAAAGCATTTTGTGGAATCTGACAAGCTGATTTCAAAATTTATATGAGAATGAAAAGGGTCAAGACTCTCTAAAAAACACCCCTGGAGAAGAACAAAGTGGTAGAACTTGCCCTAAAGGGTATCAATACTAATTTTAAAGCTACATTATGTACATCAACATGGTACAAAGACAGACAAAGATTTTTAATGGTACAGAATAAAGAGTGCAGGAATAGCTACGAAATACAGTTGGCCCTTTGTAATCAAGGGTTTCACATCTGAGAATTCAACCAACCATGGATTGAAACCCACAGATATGGAGGTCCAACTATACATCGTTTTATGTAAGGGATTTGAGCATCTGCGGACTTTGGTGTCTGCGGGGTACCCTGGAGCCAATCCTGAGGGTCAACTGTATATGAGACTGTAAAGAAAGGTGGCATGTACTCTTTGAGGGAATATATTGTCTTCCCGGGTCCACAAGGGGGCTTAGTTTCAAGGGCAAGAATCTTCCCAGCGACATGCCCCGCCCTCTCAACCCATCCGGGAGATTAAAGATCTTTGTTTAAATTTTGGATCCTGCGGGAAGAATCAAAGATCAATCACTCCAGCAGAAGTTTAAAGGAACTCCTTTCATAGGTCAAAGGGCTTGGAGAGGGAGGGAATTCCTCCCAGGTTAAAAGTCCCTGTCCCCAACATCCGGGCCGGCGGATTCCATATTTGGGTCCCCTTCCACAATCTTTGTGGAAACTTTCTCTTTCTCATCTTTTTCTCTCTTTTTTCTATTGCTCTGCCTAAATAAATAAATCAACTTTCTGCAAAAACTCTTTGGGGTCCAATATTTACTTGCAAGTGCACGGCGCCACTCATGGTCCCCTGTCCCATTCTTGGGTGAGAGACCAAAAGCCCAGAGCCCATTGGGGAGTGAGCTAAACCTCTCCTGCACCCCGGGTCCCAGAAACCGGCAAACACCCTTGATAAAATGTGGTAAGAATGGCACTTTGCCTCTGTGACCTTCCTCCCTCAAACCAGTAACTGGTCTATTCATAAGAAACATATTAAACAAATCTCAAGTAAAAGACATTCTGCAAATTACCTAATTAGTACTCCTCAAAAGTGTTAAAACTGAAAAACTGTCACAGTCAAGAGCAGCTTAAGGAGACATAACAACTAAATGCAATATGGTATCCTAAATGGGATCTTGTAACAGTAAAAGGACATTAAGAAAAACTAAGGAAATCTGAAAAAAGTATACACTTTTTCTTTTTTTGAGATGGAAACTCACTCTGTCACACAGGCTGGAGTGCAGTGGCATGATCTTGGCTTACTGCAAGCTCCGCCCCCCGATTTCAAGCGATTCTCCTGTCTCAGCCTCCCGAGTAGCTGGGACTACAGGTGCGCACCACCATCCCTGGCTAATTTTTGTACCTTTTTTTTTTTTTTTAAGCAGAGATGGGATTTCTCCATGTTGGCCAGGGTGGTCTCGAACTCCTGACTTCAGGTGATACGCCCACCTCAGTCTCCCAAAGTGCTAGGATTATAGGCATGACCCACTGTGCCCAGCAGATAAATTATAGACTTTAGCTAACAATAATGTATCAATATTGGTTTATTAATTGTATAAATGTACTATATTGTGAGATATTAATAATAGGGAAATGGGGGTGCTGCGTGGCACGTGTCTGTAGTCCTAGTTACTCAATAG